ATGTGGATAATTGAATATTCGGTATTATGACTGCTTTGTACTTTATCATGTTTCCTCACTAATTGGTTTTCATTTTTCATTTTTATTTTATTTTTAGAATTAAAAAAAGATAACATGGGTAGTTATATTCCATAAAAGTAGGATATATTATTTGATTTTGTTTTTAATTTTAATTTTTTTAATATAAAAATGTGAATTTACCATATTATCCTCATTTAATTAATAATTTCAATTCTTAATGTTTGAATTAACTAAAGACATTTTCTGGTATTTTAAATGTTTCACCATTCTCTGCCTTTTGCTTTATATATATAGATTACTGTCGCTTTTTCTCAACAAAAAAATAGTTCACGTGGATCCAAATAACATCTCTCATCAGTGGCACAGTGGTTTTCTAAAAGTTAATTGGATGGGTTTTTTTTTGTCGATGGCGCACCGTGGTGGAGGCTGCCGACACACAGGCTAGAGCTGCTTTGGAGGGGATGCGGTTTTCTGTGAGACTTCAATTGCAGGGGTGTGTTTTTTAGGGTGATTCTTTGCCGGTATTGCCAATGCTCTTGGCACTGATATGGAGCATTTTTATGTGGAGGGCAGTATCCTGGACAACGCACGCTTCCTCTTACAGAGTTTGCCGGAGTCCAGTTTCCATTATGTCCCTCTGGGAGCCGAACGGTGTATCGGTAACAAATTGTCAAAATAAATTTGGTAACGAATTGAAAGCAAATATTACTTACGAAAATGAAAAGTAGTCTTATCGTAAAACATTTACAGCCCGTCACATAATTTCATAGCTTTCGTGTTAATCAAAGAAATAAGAAATGCAACAATATCGTTAAGAGATGAAGAAAAGAGTGAATGCAGATAAAATTAAAACAAAAAAACTATTTATAACTGTTTACAGTTTTTAGTTTTAAAAAAAAAAAACCAAGTGTTGTTTCTACTTCACTGCTCTCATCTCTTTCTTTAATTTAGAAGAATAAATTTTGAGAAAAGCAAAAACTTTACTAAACAGACCCTAAATTTCAGAGAAATCGGGAAAATAGTCGCTTGTATCAATCAACCGAAAAGAGGTCGGCTGGTTGAATCATACAAAGGACTAGTTCCCAAAATTGTAACTGAAAATTCTAATTTATCATCCCCCCATAAACTTCTGTTTTTTGGCTGTGTTCATGTATGGTCTGAAGACCCATTCAGTCTGGGCTTCATTCTGATCCACTGTTCCTAACTTAATCTACAACACCAAAGCAAAGAAAGTGTAAACAAGTATGAAATATTAACAGTCTACTCGTCATTGACACAAAAAATATATCAAGTAATTAAACATGATTTCTTAACTGTTATCCAGAGAACAACCGCGTCCACCATGTGAATGCAATGAAGCGCAAGTGATATCACTGCAACAAGCACAAATTTCTCAGAATGAAGATAAAGTGAAGGGCGAAGTACTGACCTTATAAAGCCTCAATTCAAACTGAGGACCAATCTCCTTCAGCTCAACGGATTTTGGGCCTCCGTGCTTCTCATAGGTATGATGCCTGTATGTTCTTCAAATTGTTAATGGGAAATGAAAGCAACACTTAAGAGGATAAATCTCACTGTATAAGAAATATAATGAATAACATTGCTAGAGCAGCTAACTGAAGAAATGCTTAAATCCCTGATAGGAAAATAGTGAAAAGAAAAAGAAAAACTGAAAAACTGAAAAAATAGAAAGAGAAAAAGAGTGTACTGATTATTATTCAAGAACAGCCCTCTATGTACCAATACATGCATATAATAGAACTTATCGCAAATGTGCTAGGAGAGCAGTAGATCACATCCATGTACAAAATCCAAACCAATCATCCATCTAAGGTTAGAATGCTTAGCACTTCAAAGGTCAAAACTTTTTTTCTCCACTCATATAAGAGCAATGCCTATTGAAAACCAAAATTCCTACCTACCCACAAAATTGAAAAAACCTGGTCACACAAATCAACCACCAATATTACCAAAGTACCTCTAACCATAACTCTAATTACATTTTTTTTTTGTCAGTTCTAGATAATGGCTGCCACTGTCATGGTCAGCAGCATCTCCAACATGGAGGCAGCCACTATGTCGCTCTGCAATGGGTCTTTTCTCACCATATTATACAGCTGTCAATACACATAGAAGATTGCAGACTACCCGGAAGCCAAACTCTGGCTTGTTTGAGGTTGACTTGGGAACCTTGTGACCCGAACTTGACTCAGGCAAAGTAAGTCCAACTCAAGCTGGACTCGGTTCAACTAGCTTCACAAGCTCAACTGAACCCAAGCTTTATCTTGAACTCAAGCTCAATTTGAATCTTCTCAGGAATATAGTTTACAAAAATGAATCCCTACAATAAAAATCTTAAATCCATTCTCCAAGACTCCAGATAATACCATACATAACACCTCCAACTTGTTTGTCAACATACATTAACTACATGAGCCTCAGTCCCAAATTTCTCACAAGCAAATCCCAGCACCAGAAAAGGCTGGATATGTGTAATGAGCTGAACAACGTGCAACTAAAAGTAAATGGGAATGCATGACTATTATTATACACTGATCTGGGTTTGACTTGCAGAGTGGTAATGCCCCCTAGAAATTTGGTGCAAAAGACTCAAAGATGCAATAACTACAGCTAGATTAGAAAAGATGTATCCTCTTTGGAAGCACAAGCAAAGCCCATCAGCCACAATCTAACAATAAACCTTATTTTTCTAAACACAAATGTCCACAGTAACGTAAGAGTTGGTCAATAAATAATAATAACAATAACAATAACATGCCCTTTCAAAGTTAACGAGTCTTTTAGCTTTCCTACAAGTCTTAGGAGTCAAAGCCTAAAAATATGGCTACAGATATGTGACAACAACCAACCTGAATGAAATGTAGTCAGACTGATTGGCAAAAGTGATTATGTGTTTCGTGTCTGGCTTTGACACTGGAAAGAGATGCTTTAAAATATTTGCTGTCCTCTCACCCAACTATTAACAATCAAGAAAAGAATACTATGTATAATAAAATGCTGAATAAGCCAGTAATTAAGAAGGGAAACTCAAAAAATATGGAGTGATAAACTTTTACATAAGATAAAGATGGGTAGCAGGAGTATAGGAATCAGAAAAACTAAGAATAATTATAACATGCAAAGCAACCAAGTGGGATACCATGGTGGATTCCAACAGTTAAACTCCTCCATGATTTTCATAGATGGTAGGTAAGTCATAAATAACTGGAGCTGTTTATTTGGAAAATAGTTATAATTAATAATCCTGATCTTTAAACCATTCTGTCAACCATGTCTCAGGATTCATATTTTTTATTAGATCAATTGGGTCTAATATATCTTGGCATGATATACGGAGCAATGCGAGCAAACAAGACGTTGAAATATTTAATTGAGATATGATACCTTAGTCCTGAAATTGTTGAGAATCAAATGTGGATAAACCTGAGGCATCGTTCCCACGGTTTTCTTATCTTTAATGTCATGTCTTGTAACCTACAAGTGAAATACTATTAGCTGAATGCCCATAATAATAAGTCAAAGCATAGATCCAGTACTGGCATGACAAATTCACAAAAGCAAGTCAGAAAAAGAAAAAAAAGCAATCTTAAACTTAATTAGTTCATAATATATGATTTAATTTCAATGTTCGTCATGATTGGCATTCTACAATCATCACTATCAACTCTTCCTTCTATGTTTCTTTGCACTAGGAAGCTATCTGTTTTTTTATTTTGTTATTTTGTTTAAAACTATATCATGTTCTGTCATCAACCAGACTTTGTATAAGAATAATCTACCTTGAAAAGCACAAATTTGAAAACCGAATCACTTTCTCAAAATCTGTTTCCAGTAACCAAAAAACCTCTGACTCCTGACAGCAATAAAACTAAACCCTTTCTGGCCCAATTCAAAACTTTAGACCTTGTGTGCCTCTCACTTTTTATAATTTGTATGTCGTCCTCACTTTTTCCCAAGTTTTACTGCTGAAGATAGAAATTTGCTGTTGTCTGGATTTCTTTTCTGCTGTTCTACATCAGTCAAATACCAAGATACTTGTCCTTTACATTAATGTAAAGGTTATCACACTACTTACCACATTGAGTAGTTGAAAATAAGCTGTTGGACCAAAAGGAAGGTGGCTTATAATCAACCCATCTGGTACACCACGATGCTCATGAACCAACACAACATCTGTAAAATCGTGTGCATGGCAAGTTTCAATGATTTCAGAAATAACCTGCAGGATTTGAAAGAAGAAAAAAAAATTAATGTATGCTCTACTATGGAAAAGAAGCAAAGCTTCAGAGCCAGGCAGATATGTCCTTAAATTTGAAAGGTTGTCAACAGGTACCAACTCTTTCGATTAACACATTGCAAGAATAAGAAAAACACGACAATATCAAAAAGAACTAAAGCAGTTACACCTCAAAAATGAGATAAATCACACCATATTTATCTCAATATTGACTACACAGAAAACACAAAAAAAAATCACACACAATAATTAACGTAGTGACTACACAGAAAACATCTATCAATAACTCAATATTGGGCAACGCATGGTTGATTCATAAGAAGTGGTCAAACAACATCACACAGAATATATATAATTATATATATATATGCAAATAAGTTCGGAGCAGGGCTCCGTCTAATTTCTCTTGTCAGCAGTTAGATTTAAATGACAGAGCTTTTGACGAGTCAAATATTCTTTGAGAGGGAAAAAATTATCTCTATCTTTTATCCTCTTTCAGATTTTCTATTTTCCTTATCATTCAAAGGCTGTACTGCATATTTCTGGATTTAATTTGATCTCTTATATCTCAGATCTCCAGGTAAGAACACCAAAAACAAAACTTGGAAACAACCATGCAGTCCGAATGCATCATCAAGCAACTACAGATTTAAGTACAACTTACAACCAAAAAGAGAGGAAAAAACTAAGCAGAAAAAGATAGGCAAAACGGTCCACCAACCTGGCCACCGCGATTCATTTGTTGTGCATTGGGAAAAACAAGTTTCAGTTCCTGCAACAACAGTGTCATTGAACAATAATCAATAATTAATAATCAAAACCAGCCTTGCATGATACCCACCAAAATGAACCCAAGAAGTGCAGCTAGAAGAATTAAATTATATGATGCGAAAAGAAAGAGGCTAGGCCAACCTTTGCAAATTGTAACAGTGAAGCACTCGGATCCCTGGAGGTAGTTAGCAAAATTTTGGGGTCTCTTTGTGTGTTTACATACTCATCATCAATACGTGACATTGGGACTAGGATTCAGAAATAAAAATCATGAAGAATCAACAGCATACTCAAATGAAAAAACAAAAATCACATGTTCGAGCTTCAAACTACCGCCCAGAATATGATAAATTACCACGACACTTTGATATATAAACATGAACTTTCACATAAAAATTATCATATATCAAAGAACTTCCATAGATATCTTGACGAAGGGCGGCTTCCTCATTCCGAAGCTCCGTGGGTATTGGTTTCCCCTCTTAAAAAAAAATCAAAATGTCCTAAAATTGTTAGCAATTCACTGACCCCAACACAAAACTCCAACTTAGAAATGAAGAAAACAAGTACAAAAGAGAGAGCACCTTCTAGAGCTTCTCTGATCTTGCGCTTCTTCTCATAGCGCAACCGTTGTTTGCCTTCTAAGTTCTTTCTGTACAAGTACTCCCTCGTTAACCTCTTAGTTTTTGGGGGCAGCATACTTGCTCTCTGTAACAGAACCTTATACGATGCCGTTTAGCGAGCAGATTAGATGATGCCTAGTGAGATAGTCTCTTGCCTCTTCGTGTTAAGGGCATTTCCAGCAGCCCACTCGGGCTGGGGGGGGGGGGAGAGCCCAAAAGCAGCTTCCAGCAACAAGTGCTGGCCCGGGCAGTGTGGGGTCCACTTGCCTGGGCTGGCCCCAAGGCGAAGGCAGCCCGAGTGCGAGCTGACGTCATCGCTTATGCCAGCGTGACGTCAGCACGCGGTTTTAAATTTTTTTTACCGTTGGCGCGTGCATTGCACGCGCCAACGTTAAAAAAAATTCAAAATCGCGCGTCAGCTTTTGCGCCCAACGGTAACGTGCGACGTGGCAGCCTCTCGTCCTTCCGATTTCGCCTTGTCAGCCAATCCGACGGCCTGGAAATTTTCCAGGCAAAAAATGATGAAAAAAAATCGTAAAAATTTTTAAAAAAATCCCAAAAAATACTGACTTTTTTTCTATAAATACCAACACCTACTCTTCAGTTTTAACAACAAATTCTCATACATCTTCTCCTTCTCCAACTATTTTTCACTTTCTATTTAATATTTTCTTCACTTTTTACTCTAAATTGTTTTCATTTTTAAGTATAATTTTTCTCTATCATTATGGCTTTTTCTCAAGAAACCGGAGGGGCATGGAGCGTCATGGAAGATGTCTTGTTGTGTGAGTGTTGGATCCAAATTAGTCATGATCCCATATCGGGTAATGAGATGAAATTCAGTCAAATGTGGAAAAAAATTCTTCACGAATTTGTTGAAAGATCGGGTTCCACCCGTACGGAAAGCGCATTGTCAAGTCGGTGGAAACTTCTCAACAAAGAGTTGGGGAAATGGAGAGATGCCCTCACAAAAGCGATGAATAACCATGCAAGCGGGGAAAATCTAAGCGATGAGGTAATTACTTGTAATTTTCATTTTATTAATTTTAATGTCCTATTAATTTTAATTTTAATGTTTCTTGCAATTGGTATATTTTGTTAATATTTCTTGTATTTCCATATGTATTTAAATGTTTCTTGCATTCTTTATATTTTGTTTATATTTCTTGTATTTCTAATATTTATATAAATGGTTGTTGCATTCTCTATATGTTTTTAATATTTCTTGTATTTCCATATTTATTTGAATGTTTCTTGCAATTTTTATATTTTTTTTTATATTTCTTGTATTTCTAATATTTATTTGAATGTTTCTTGCATTCTTTATATGTTGTTAATATTTCTTGGATTTTCATTCATATGTTTATCTTTTTTGCATTACCAATTTTTTTTTAAGTTCCTTGCTTATTCAATTTTTTTTTATATAGATTGTGCAAGCTCAAATGTTCTATGGTGCTACTGGAGTAGGGAAAAAAAGTTTCACCCATACCCAATGTTGGGAGGTGGTGAAGCATTGTAAAAGATTTAGCATTATTCCAACGGCTCCAACGGTGGTGTTAAACGAGACGCCACTTCATGATTCACAAGCTTCGGATTCGCCTATGGAATCCCCTATGAGTGAAGACTTACCCTTTCAAAAGGAGCCGAGGCCTATGGGGAGGAAGGCGGCAAAGGCAAAGAGAGGAGTTAATTCTACGAGTAATACCTCTAAATTTTTAGAGGAAATTGCAAGGCAAAGCGCCTTGAGAATTGAAATAGACAAGAAAGTCCAAGAAGATGATAGGGCAATGGCAATAGAATTTGCTAAAGAAAGGGAGTATGTACGCAAAGAAAGGGAGTATCGACGCAAAGAAAATGAAGAAAGGAAGGATCGGGAAACCATGGCCATGGATACAAGCCACATGTCTCCTGAAACAAAACAATATTGGAAGCTAGAACGAAAGGCTATTATGAGACGAAAACTTTTTCGTGATGATGGACCTAGCAATACGGATTGGTTAAATGATGAAAACCCTTAAGTTAGTTTGCTTGCCTTTTCATTTCATTGTATTTTAATGATTTGTTTTAAAAATTAGTTGGAAGTCATGTATTTTATTGTATTAGTAGTATTAGTTTTCTTTGAGTTACCAAAGAAACTATTAAATAAAATTCCTTTTTATTCAAAAAATTCAATTTATAAAAAAAACTAACCACAACCAAAGCATTAAATTTGAAAATCTGAAATTTGAAAAAAAAATTTATCTGAAATTTGAAACCGAAAATCTTATCTGAAAATCTTATCCGAATATTTTATCAGAAAATCTCATCCGAATATATTGTCCAAATTAATTGTTTAGGTAAACAAATTTGTGAAAAAAACAAAAAATTGAATAGTACCCCCCCCTTGCCATGGCAACTGCTGGAAGTGGAACTTACTTTTTGCAAGGGCAGACACTATTCCTGTGAATAGTGTCCCCCCTAGCCCCCCCCTTGCCATGGCAAGATTCCAACTGCTGGAAGTGCTCTTAGCCTGACTGTGAGAAGGGAACCTACAAAGCAACCGAGAGAGTAGGGGTTTACCGCTTTGAAGGGTAAGCATGTAATTACACAAAAGAAATCACGTTTTCTTTTTTTGGGAGAAACTATAGGAAAGTAGTACGGTAACGGTAGAATGGATACTTGCCTCCTTTCCTTCCCTATAAAGAGATGTTCCTTCTTCCGCCAATTACAATTTGACATATTTGTAAAAGTAATTCATTAAAATCATAAAAAGAAAAAATTTCTGCATACATGTCACACTATATGAGTAGCCGTATTATCTTATAATTTTATTGATACAATTCTTTTAAAAGGGAAATGTCAACCATGTGGTCTACCCATATTCAAACACATGTACCAATTACATGATGTAGCCGTATTACTGTAATATTTTATAATTCTTTTTGGAGGTTAAAATGCATTTTGTTTTTGTTCCGTAAAAGTATACAAAAGGCCAAGTGATCAGCTGCGAAATGCACTTATAAACTTTATTTAAATTTTGTTCACTGTGTTTTGTTTTTCATGTTTTGATGACTGTGTTTAATCTTGTAAGCAATTTAACAATAATTTTGCAATTTTTCTCTAATTAACTTCAAATCACAACTGAAAGGGTTTAAATTTGTAAATACCTTTCACCAAATGTTCAAAATCATGTCTGTTGAATACGATTTTTAAACCGATATTCTTAAATTTTCTTCTACCATTGAGGTTCTTAAAACAAAAAACAAGACTTGTGCACGTGCATTTTCACTTCATTCATGTTATAACTTGGGGTATGCATGGCTTGTTGAGATTTCAATAGCAGAGTTTAGCTTGGGGAAGAAAAGTCTCAGAGGGGGAGAGAGACGTTGTGAGAGAGATTGTTACTGAGCACCCATCATTGGAATGTGTTGACGTGGAAAAATGGTTCGTTAACTTTCCCGCTCAACTTAGTGATGTTGGGCCTTTGGTATGCCTTTGGGCTTCAGTAGAACACGTGATCTGTAAAATAGCACATGCTCGGTAAGACCTTAGGCACCGGAGTGGTACCGGCCGAAAGCTCTCCGATGCTTAAGTAAGTACGCAGTTGGAAAGATTAAACTGACAGATCAATAGGCAGTATGCCATAAGTTCTTGTTACCTCCATTTTGGGGAATTGTGCTCCTTTTGTAAGCCTTAGGAGGTGTGCTGGTTGTGTAGATTTTCGATGTGAGACTGTAGACATCGATTGTGGGCTTGCCACGTGCCCAAGAGAAGGACATTACCCTAATTGAGGATAAACAGGAGTCCCCCAAGTTCTCTTTCGGGAGTTATAGGAAGGGGACTTGATATTCTCTTCGGCAAGTGAAATGTTATCCTACCGTTTGGTAATTGAGCTGATGAGGGGCTCAATGTTGGCACTCCTGTGCATGTTCATTCGGAAGAGGATGTTTGGGGAGTCAGAAGGTTGCTTCAAACATGGAGTGACGGGACTGAAGGGCGCTTCGTCTTCCGTGCCTCGCGTGCTGTCAGACCATCCACAGAGTGAACGACACGTGGTGTGTCCACTCAATAAGAGCGGCGCATTAATGCGCCATTTGGTCTTTCGAGGCGTACTGTTGCAACTCCTTGCCTTATAAATAGAAGTGACTCCGAAGGGGAATTCACTTTGCATTTGCGAGATAAGCGAGAGCTCTGTTAAGGCGATTTCCGACGTGGGAAACGGCAACAAAGGCGATTTCCGACCTGGGAAATGGCAACAAAGGCGATTTCCGACCTGGGAAACGGCAACAAAGGCGATTTCCGACCAAGGCGATCAGTAGTCGAGTTCGCTATTCTTCTGTCATAGCGCGAGATAAGGTACCGTTCGACACTCTCATCTTACTCTTGTTTGTCACACGTCCTTCCTTGGCGTGAACTAGACTGAGCATAGGGTTCCGTTCAGTAGTTTAGTCGCCATAGGTAGCGATGTAGGAATTGGTAGGCTAGTCTTCTACATGGCCCTTAGTTTCCTTTTCTTTGTTTTGTAGATGTGTGATAGCGAGTCACAATTCAAGAGTGAGCCCAATGCTTTCAAGGGGGAGTCATCGGACAGTCTATTCGATTCAAATAGTGAGGCCATAAGCCTTGATGCCGAGGGTGGAGAGGATACCGGTGTCGAGATACTCGGTGAGGTCCCAAGCTCCGTTCCTACTCACGGCATCGGGAAGGGGCTAATGGTAAAGCAACCGATGATGTTGGCCGTGGTATATTGCGACGGCAGTCATATCGGCATGGACTAGCATTGTGAGTTTCAGATGGGGGATACTCGAGTGTCGGAGGAGCATACCAGTCATCAATCGGAAGCCTCCACCTCTAGTCGTGGAGAACCATCTGCCGAACCCTCTTCCCGCCCTAGGGTGTCCGTAGTATACCCCAACAACCCTAGGGTACCCATAGGCGTGCCGAAGGAGCATTTGTTCGACGTCGATTACTTGGAGCCGAATAAGATCACCGAACGGGAGATAGCTAAGTATCGCGCCGAGTTCTTCATCCTGAATTCGGTAAGGATGAGGATCCCGGGTCCTACCAAATCCCTCAGCAAACCGAAGGACGGCGAAGTCGTCTTTTTCACCGACGTCCTTCTGCAGGGGGTCCGGTTGCCGTTGCAACCTGCCGTGCAAAAGATCCAAGCCCAAATTGCGTATGCTCCCGGACAATACAACCCTAACTTCTAGGTGGCTCTGATGGGGGTGGTCACGGCATTCGGCATGGCCAAGGAAGGGGAGCCTTCCTACGAGCAGTTCTCGTACCTGTACGGCATCACCAAGTCAAAGAGTGCCGATCATGGGGGTTGGGTACAGGCCAACTGTCTCCAGGCTTCCGAGCAAGGCCATTTTGTGAGCATCGTGCCGACTTCCCAGAAGTCTAGGAGGAATCGGCGGGTGCTTCTATCTGGTGATTGGGAATCGTCATTGGTACAGCCTATTCGATTCCACATCCCAACCACCTTCCAAATAGCCGGTAGGTCGACATGCCGATCAATAGGTCTACAGTTGTATTTCTCTGGAGACTATCCTTGGTTTGTTTTTTGCTTTTGTAGGCAAACTGAAGCATCCGAGCCCTACGCAGTCTGAGATTCAGCAGATTGACAGAGTGAGGTTGAAGGTTCCCGCCGTTGAGAGGATATAACCGAAGATTCTCTTTACCGAGAACCTCGTCAGAGCCAGACTTGTCAATCTTGCCGAGAGTAAGTGGACTTCGCGTTCTTAAGGCTTTCATTTATGCCGATTTTGGGGGTCTTACCGAGGCCAAGAAAATGAACGAGTCTTCTCAGAGGCGCCTCATGATGGGCCTTCAAGAGAAGAAGAAGAATCGGCAATCCGACGTGCCACCTGTGCACACGGCGAACACTGATCCTAAGGAGCAGACTCTTGCCGAGCGGCTACGGCGATTGAACGGCGAGCCTGCGTAGAAGAAAACTGCCGGGGCTGACCCAACACCGAAGCGTGGGCAACCTACCAAGGACTCGGCCTCCAACGCGGCCAGGAAGAGGCCATTCACGGTGGACCTTGACGCCGAGCTTGTGCTCAAGCGTGGTCGGCAATCGAACGTGCCAAAGGCTATCTTCTCCATTGAAGACGACGAGGGTCCTGTCGAGCCTATCAACATTGCCTGCCCTTCGAAGACGGTCCAGTTTGCGAACCATATGATCCTTGGTTAGCAAATGGAATTGTCGGAGATCGAGGCATTGCCGAAGAAGATCCTTCGTGAAGAAGCTGGCTGCGCCTTCCGTCTCCAGGCTTCGGTAAGTTTCTAGATCCTCACATGTGGTGCCGTTTGCTTGCATACTTCTGACTTTACTTTGTTTTCCAGGCGTCGATGGACATGTGGCTGTACATGAAGCGAGCCATTACCTCTGCCTAACGTGCCAAGAAAGCTTATGAGTGCCAAGAAAGCTTATGAGGACGGCCGTGTAAAGGTTGCCGAGGCAGACATGGCCTTTCAGGACCACGCTCATCTGCTGAAGGACAAGCAAGCTGCCAAACGGCAGGTTCAGACTTCGGAGGCCAAGTTAGCAGAGATGAGGGTGGCCTTGGAGTCTGCGGTAACGGTGGCGAAGGAAGCCGAGGAGGCAAAGGAGGTGGTGCAGGTGGCCTTGGAAGAGTCAAAGCGGGCCAAGGTTTCGGAGATCAAGGCTGCCGTTCGGGAAGCGGTTAGGAGCTATCGTTCTTCAAAAGAGTTCAGTGTCCTGTTGGATAAGGAAGTGGGCTCGGAGATGGCAGACCTCCTTTATTGCTTCAAACGGTACAATCCCGGGAGAAAGCTAAACCTCAACTTCATTGCCGATCCTCCTCCTCTACCGGAAGGTCTTACCAAGGAGATGATAGAAGACTACGATGGGGAGGACGCTCCAGAAGAAGTCGTAGCCGCTGAGGGCTCTGTTGCCGCGAAGAAGCTCCTGCCGATTCCGCTGCCGATGCTGCTGCTTGATCTTTTGTAGTTTGTTTGATATATTTTTTGTATTTTCCATAAGGCAGCACTTCTGAACGCATTGATGCCGAGGGCATCTTTATAACTGAATTATAACTGCTTTTGATCAATTCTGTCTTCTTTCATTGTTGCCGAGAGCTGACAAGGAATTCTTAGATATTGCTAAAGTGAGCCTGAGATAGGTAATGAACTTGGACTTAATCATTCCGAAGCAAGAATCGATTACCTAGACCTCCAATCGGAAAGAGAATCAGAATGAATCTTTTACTACCGAAGGCTAGTAAAAGACTGAATTCAAAGTGAACCTTTAATCGGTAAGAAACTGATAAACTAATCGTTTTACTTGCCGATGGAGAAATAATAGATTAACTACCGATGACAAGTAAAAGAACATTGGTCTTAAGTGAACCCTCAATCAGTAAGGCACTGGACTTAAGTGTTTTAATTGCCGAAGGATGGTCAAAGACTACCGTCCGAAATTTGTTTATAAGCGTAGGATACTGCATGACCGATGGTCTCTACCATATCTTTTTAATTAACCAAAAAATAAATAAACGCATCGAAGGTTGTGAATATAGAAGCCGAAGGCTTTTTCATTAATATTGCTGAAGGCAAAGGTACATTCGGAGTTCGTTTTACAATTACAACATGTCGTAGGCTAGGGAACTACTTGAAATAATACTTCAGATGTTCGACGTTCCAAGGATGATCGAGGGTCTCTGAGCCGATAGGTTCCTGACCGAAGGATGCCGATGATCTTGTAAGGTTATTCCCAGAAAGGCCCGAGGGTTCATTCCGTGGGATTCTTAGTTGCCAAAGAGACTTTTCGCATAACCCAGTCCCTGACTTGGAAAGAGCGAGATTTGACTCTTGAGTCGTAGTACCGAGAGACGCTCTATTTGTATGCCTCATTCCGAAGGTTGACTTGCGCTTGGAGTTCTTCGATCAGGTCAAGGCTCAATGCGAGTGCTTCCTCATTCGCCTTTGGAGCAAAGCTTTCTACTCTGTAGGAGGGCTCGCCGATCTCCATGGGGACCACTACTTCGGAACCGAAGGTGATAGAGAAGGGGGTTTCGCCGGTTGTCATTTGGTAGGATGTTCGAATGGCCCATAACGCTTCTGGAAGTTTCTCCGGTCAAGCTCCTTTAGCTTTGTCAAGCTGCCGTTTTAGTAGCTTTTTGATGATTTTTTTTATTGCTTCGACTTGACCGTTCGACTGTGGGTGAGCTGGAGAAGCGAAGAACAGATTGATCTTGAGGCGAGTGCAGAACTGCCTGCCGTTATCGGTGATGATTGCGTAGGGGATACCCAATTGACAACAAATGTGCGTCCAGATGAAGTCCTCCATTCTGGCTGCCGTTATAGTTGCTAGAGCTTCGGCTTCTACCTATTTGGTGAAATAATCTACGGCAACCACGGTATATTTGACCTAGACTTTTCCCTGCGGCATTGGGCCGATGAGGTCGAGTCCCCACTGCGCAAAAGGCCATGGACTTATGATCGGTGTCAGAGGCTCGGCAGGGATGTGTGGTACATTACTGAACCGTTGACATTTGTCGCACTTTTTCACTAACGTGTGTGCATCCTGATGCATAGCCGTCCAGTAGTACCCCTGTCGAAAGGCTAGCTAGGGATCGGGATCCGGAATGGTCGCCGCAAACGCCACCGTGGATTTCCCGAAGGACGTAGTCCTCTTGTTCAGTAGTGATGCATTTTAGATACGGCGTGGTAAACCCTCGTCTGTACAGGACATCATTGATGACTGTATACCTTGCCGATCGATACCGCAGCTTCCTAGCAAGGGATTTGTCGGTGGGTAGTGTACCGTTCATTAGGAAAGCGTAGATGGGAGACATCCATGTGCTTTTATACCGTACGGTACATATTTCAGAGGGTACTGTGCTCAGCTGCGATAGGATTTCCACCGGCACCTTTCTACCGAGTGCATTAGCGTGGCTGTTCTCAGACTTGGGGACCTGCCGAATCTCGTAGGCTTGAAATTTTTTTAAGGAGTTGGTGTGTTGCCGAAAGGTAGGCTGACATGGAAGCGTCCTTGGCTGCGAAGTCTGCCGTTATTTGATTCACAATGAGCTGGGAGTCACTGTGAATGCTGACTTGTTGTGCACTCATGCTTTTAGCTAGTTGAAGGCCGGCCAAAAGGGCTTCATACTCTGCCTCGTTGTTGGAGGTTCTGAAGTTGAATTGGAGGGCGTATTCGACATTGACTCCATCTGGAGTAGTTAACACTAGGCCAGCTCCGCAGCCTTGTTGATTTGCCAAGCCATCGACATGCAGAATCCATACGGGAACTAAGGGGTCAAAGTGTTCGACATTTAGCGACCTTGACTCCCTGGCATCGGTGTTTGAACTGGCTGGCTCTAGTGTTACCGGAGGTGTAAGCTCAGAAATGAAATGGACGACAGCTTGACCCTGAATGTCGTATGCTCGCTATCGTGATGGTTCATGAAAATCTGGTTGTATCCTGAATAAGCGTCCATGAAGCTGAGTAGCTCGTGACCGGCCGTCGCGTCAACGAGCTGGTCGATCATGGGCAAAGGGAAGCTGTCCTTCGGTGCGCATGGCTTTTAGCTTATCAACTTCGGTGCGCATGGCTTCATACTGTTTGGCATCACACGAACAGCGCTTCTGTCTGACAGGTTTATAAGCGGGGGAGATGCTGAGCTTGTGGCTAATGACCTTAGGCGATATGCCTGACATGTCATCATAAGATCAGGCGAAGACCTCCGCATGGTGCCGCAAGAAGTCAATGAACTGCGTTCGGAGGGATGGGGCGAGGGAGGTACCGATCTTGACGCACCGATCAGGTTGCTCCTCATTTAGTATTACCATTTCCAGTTCTTCGGCGAGTTGTGCCTGCAGTGTCGGTGTCTCGTCCCTTGGGTCATCAATGGCCCTGTTACAATTTGGTGCCCCCAAGACGGACATGGTCTCCTTATGAGGTTTAGTGGCTACTGATTTTAATGTCGTCGCATAGCACGTTCGTGCCCTGAGTTGGTCTCCTCGGACAGTGCTTGTACCGTTGCAGGTTAGGAACTTCATCAGCAACATGTGTAGGGACAGGTGCGCTTTGATTCCGGTGAGTGTCGTTCGTCCTACGATGACGTTATATGCCGTTGGGCAGTCAACAATGAGAAACTGGTCATATATCATTGTTTTTCGAGGGGCAACGCTGAAGGCGATGGGTAGATTGATACTACCGACTGGCTGGACTAGGTCCCCGGAAAAGCTAAGCAGGGGCGTTATCTGCCGATTGACCTGGCTATCGGCAATTCCCATTCATCTAAAAGCATCGGAAAAAATTACATTTACCGAACTTCCAGTGTCGATCAGTACCCGTCCTTCGTCGTAGTCGATGATTTCAGCTCGAATGATCATCGGGTCATTGTGGGGGTAAAGAATCCCTTCTTCCTCTTCCTCATAGAACGTGATAGGCTCTCACCAACCTTCGATACCTTGTGGTGCCGGTTGACCTCAATGCCGAAGATTTGAGGGTATTGTGCAGCACGCATATATTGTTTCACCGATCGATTAGATGATCCGGCCAGAGTGGGACCTCCGCTGATGGTGCTAATCATGTTGATCTGTCAGTTCACGTTCGAGATAGGTGCATGCGGTGGTCTAGTGATGTACTGATCCAGCTTTCCTTCTCGAATCAAACGTTCAACGATCTTCCTCAGACTTATGCACTCCTCAATGTTATGACTGTTATGCTGGTGGTATCAGCAGAATTTGCTGGTATCCCGATTGTCTTGCCGATTGGGCTTTCAGTGATTTGGCTTGGGTATTATCTCGTGTTTGTTCATCATGACAGCCTCATAAGTGGTATTCGACAGAGTGAAGACTTCCTGAGCGTGGTCGTGATACGGTAGGGGCGCACGATGGTCATTGCGACCGTATTGCCCTCGTCCCTTCTTTGAGCTTCCCTACCAATTATCTCGGTCATTTTTCCGTTTGTTCCCTGCCGAGGATTCGTCAGTTCTCCTAGGGGGTACGGTGATCCTTGCCCGGGATAACTTTTCAATGCTGGTTCCTCTTATCGAGCCGAAGGCCCGGACTTTGAGTTGAAATACTCAGCCTTGGCGTGGATTACCGCTTGCTTCATCAGTTCGTCGTAAGTGCACCAATTGCTACTGTGCACAAGATACCGGAAGTGTGAGGACTGAAGGCCACTCTTGAAGGCACCGTAGGCTGCCCTATCGTCTGTTTCTGGACACCTTGAATATTCATGACTGAAGTGTGCAGCGTATTCCCATAGCGGCTCGTCTTCTCTCTGCCGAATCATGTACAGATCATCTGCAGAGTACAGACTGTCCGTTTGGATCATAAAGTGATTGAGGAAAATCTATTTTAACTCGTCAAAGGAGTCTACCGTTCCCGGCTCCAGACGGTAGAACCAATTCAATGCTGCTTCGGTAAGGGAGGATGGGAATAGCAAGCATTGCCCTTCGTCGTTGAGTCCCTTGCACCCTATTGCCGATTGGAAGGAATGGAGATGCATTAAAGGGTCTTCTACACCGGTGTAGAACGGTATGCGAAGTGGCTATATATCTCTATCCTATTGCGAGTGCTTTATGTGTTCGGTGAACGGTCCCGGCCGAAGTTTGCCCCAGTCAGGCTCTTGGGAGCGTGTCCTATCATTTTCCATCTTCTGAATCCTCTAAAAGAGTAGACGGATAGCGGAGTCCTTGCTCGGAGCTTCCTTGGGACCATAGTCTTCGTAAGTTCTCTGCGGCCTTAAAGACCTTGCCTCAGAGAGTCGCGTGGGAGTTGCCGAATGGTAGGTCGATCTGGTGGTTTTGGAAGGGACGTACTTGTCGTCGGACTCTACTTCCGACTCCAACCCTCGAACCTTCCAAATGGGTGATTTGTCTCCTAGGACCTTCATCCGTGAGTCCCGTAGGCGGGCATTGATCCGGATTGGAGATCTCTGCCTTTCGGCTTCCCTATTATTGATCCGATGGCGACAGTCGGTGTAAACCTTCTTCGGTATGTGCGGCTGGTCCCGGGGTGCCGGAACTACCAACTGCTTGGAAGGTACAGGCGTTGTCTTTTTCCCCTTCTTCCCCTTCTTATGCCAACTAGGAGTCTGCAGACTCTGGGAAGATTCAGTAGTTTGGATATTCTGCGTTTGCTGCTGATTGAGCAGTTGCTGAGTTTCGTCCACTTTAGACGAGAGAAGATTGTTATGTTCTTGGAGTTTAGCCATGTCCTTCCGGAGAGAGGTGATTTGGGCCAAAAGTTCTGCTTTCGGAAGTGGTTTGAATCACGAGTGCATTACCGAAATGAGTGCAAGGGGGCAGCACAGGGCTTGCTCCGCTTTGCCTTTCAAACAGTAGCCCTTCTTTTGACAGACGGCGCCAAACTGTTGACGCGGAAAAATGGTTCGTAACTTTCCTGGTCAACTTAGTGATGTTGGGCCTTTGGTATGTCTTTGGGCCTCAATAGAACACGTGATCTGTAAAATAGCACACGCTCGGTAAGACCTTAGGCACCGGTGTGGTACCGGCCGAAGGCTCTTCAATGCTTAAGTAAGTACGGAGTTGGAAAGATTAAACTGACAGATCAATAGGCAGTATGCCGTAAGTTCTGATTACCTCCATTTTGGGGAATTGTGCTCCTTTTGTAAGCCTTGGGAGGTGTGTTGGTTGTGTAAATTTTCGATGTGGGACTGTAGACATCGATTGTGGGCCTGCCACGTGCCCAGGAGAAGAAGGTTGCCCTAATTGAGGAATCGGTAGTCTAGGTGCCGAAGGCTACCCTGACCAGGCTCAATCTTTGTCCACGTGTCTGGTCTTCAATGGCTGTTCATTTTGGTATAAACAGAATGCACTCACACACACAATGATTTCATTCCAACGGAAGTGTACCTTTTACAAGGAATGAAAACCAAATCTAGCCTTACAATTGTGTCAGCAATATGAGCTGTACACTTGGCATAAAACTAGGACATATAAGTCCTACAATGTGTGATGGCATCTAAGCCTTACACTTGTCCAGCTAAGGATAAAACCAGGAAATAATTTACATTTCAACATGGCTCATGGAAACAGGGTTCAATATAATGTGCAGAAGAGGAAAATGTATACCAATTAACAAGTATTTGATGATTGTGTACAAGAAAAATCACATGCACAAAATTCCTTACATGGCATTATTTTGCCTTAAAAGTAACTAGATTGAACTTGCAACAGTTCTAGTTGCGCCAGTAATTTTGCAGTCATTGATTTCAATCTGGAGTCACCCTGCTGGGCTAGATCAATGAGCACCACCTGAGCAGATCCTCCATAGTTTACTCTGTGTTCCTGATCTCCAAATACCTTCTCCAATATCCACAGTGCTTTCTCTTGAGCCTTGATGCTCCCTGATTCTAGAACCTTTATGATGGCTGGAATTCCTGACATTTTGGCTATGCAATTGCTTCCGTTTTCCCACATTTCATCGCGCAAGAGTGTCGCGAGGGCACTCAGCGCAGCTTCATCTGCTTCCCTCTCCTTACCTTCCAATATTTGGATTATTGGAGACACAGCACCTGCCTTGACCAAACAAAATGTGCTTTTCACAAAGCAGTAGCCATTATGAACTTCACAAAAACCATCTGCAGAAGGAGGAACACATGACCACCTTGATTTCCTTGACTTACTTAGAGATGACGAATTCTGCGATAATTGAGCTAGCGACGTTGCAGCCCTGCATTTAGTAACCGGTGATCCACTCGAGAGTAACTTAACAAGCAAAGGAATTACCCCTTGTTCTGCTGAATAAAGCTGTAATTTCTTATCAGAAGGATTCGTGAACCGAATCAATAGGCCTGTAATGCTTTCTTCTAACCAGCATGTCGTCTCTTTTGAAACTTCAGATCTTGAAGTCAGAATGGATACCATAATGGGCACCAAATTTGCTTTCTTTAACATATCTGTGAGTTTTTTGTCACTAATGGGAAGATGGCTAAGTATGCCAACTGCAGCAGCTTTCTCGCTGTCGAATGTTGATGATGAGATAATATTGATGATTGTTTTGATATAGGTTTCTCCTAGTTGGTCTGTCAACTCTTCAGGCGAATCTTTAGAGAGAGTGTAAAGCAGATTCAAGGCACTGCTCCTGATTTTAATGTTAGTTTCCATCAGGAACGGCAGGAGAAGCTGAATTGCACCATGTTCTTTCATCTTTCTTCTAACTTTGCCTGCTCTGGAATGGGAGGCAATACTATTAAGTGCTTGTAATAGGTGATTTTGAATTACTGGACTTGTGAGATTTAAAAGTGAGAGCATCTGCTGAGCCACATCTGGGTTAACAAGAATAGATTCAGATTCAGCAATCTTTGCAAGAATCACTGATGCAGGCTCGCGAAGATTCATAAGCACTGATGTCACAGAGAAGAGGAGCTGAAGCAGAGATGCTACGATGCCCGAACTGATCAACCGGTGGACATTTTCTGTCAGGTTTGACAGATTTTGCAAGGCACTTAAAGCAGATAACTTGGCTTCAAGCTTCCCTATGCTAAACATTCTGACAAGGGGTTCGATTGCACCATCTTCTCCAAGGGAAGCTCTACTTTGATCTGTGAGCTCCATCCTCGAGAGTGCTGTTGCCATCAGAATCTTACTCATGTCAGAACCTGCAAACACATAGAATGCATAGTTTATTAAGTGCCCTGGAATTTGCAGGACCGAGGGAGGTTGAAACCTTACCAAAAAGAAAAGGGAGGTTAAAGATCATGTTCTATGTATCATTGACAAAATAAAGTTGGTCTATATGCAGATACTTACTGATGTGCTAAATGGCTCAGCAGTATGATATCTACAGAACCTAAGGACAGTGTATCCTACTGAATTTTTCAGTTCAGCTTTAACTATGTTGTTAAGACCACAAACTTAAGGTCAAATTCAAGTTAAATGTGAACTAGGGATCATCATTTTGCCATATGAACCACAGATAACATATCAGTCATTTCCATCTATATGGAAGTTTTGTAAGTTCTATATTGATAATTAACTGCGGTTAGATAAATTCATGCTATTAAATAATTCTAGAAAGCTCATGATCTGACGTTAAGTTAATATCACAATCATGAAAACCACATAATCATCAAAGCGAAAAGAGATGCAAAAGTGAGAGGAAGCTTTTTGATCACCTTCGTTCAGGTACTGCACTAGTGGCTTAAAGTAACCAGCCTCTGCCATATGAAGCGCATTTTGAGTGTTGCTAGACAATGCATTCAACAACTTCCCTGCATGATGTGAAGCAACAAGGTCATCCCCATTTAGCAAGGCAACCAACATAACTATACACCCTTGAATTCGCCCAAGCCGCCGCCTGACTGACTGAAGATCTGAGAGATCCAGCAACAGCCCCACAGCTTCTTTTCTTTCTTCTTTATCCCGTACCAAAGATTTCACAACCGCGGACAAAAACCCAACATCTGCCATCTTCTCCTGCACGCTACTTTACAATGTGAGATAACCAATTACCATGAAAATCCCAAATTCTAAATTCAAGATTGATATGAAGAAGAAGAACAAATTACCTTGTTATCAGCATTATCAGAAGCAAGCCTTCTCAATAATTGAACTATACATAGCCGGTTTTCTGAATTACTTGAACTTAACCGATTAAACAGAATCGGAATAACACCTTCATCACTAATCCATTCACTGCTAACCCTTTCGTCGCCAATCAACTCATTCAATTCCAAAAGAGCAAATTTGAGCTGTTCATCATCACCACACTTTACTTGCAAAGAAACTTCATCAATACCAAAACAAACCCTTTTCTCCTCTTGGATTTCCTCTTCCACTTCAATCTCACTAACAACCCCAGAATCATAACTAGTACTTGCAAATGAGCTCATATCAAACCTGGTGTTCATCAAATCTTTATGTAACATTCCAATCTTGTCCTTCAATTCTGTGGACACGTCTAGACTGGAGAAGAGCACTAGGCCCAATGACCTCCCAAGATCGTGAACCACATCCTCCACTTGTTTGATAAATGATTTTGTCTCTGGGGTTTTGAGTAAAGCCTTGGCTCGCTTAAGCTCTGACCCAAGAGACTCCACAGCCTTTCTCACTGGTGGATGGTCCTTAAACTTAATGATGTTGTCCATTAAACCATCAAGAATTGGAACTAATTTCTCAACCAATATTTCAAATTCAGCCAGGATTTCTCTTTGGGTTTCTGAGTATTGAGCCAAAGAACTGACCTCAGTGACCAATTCTTTTATCTCTATCAAAAGCTCTGAAAAGCTTCTCTTCTCCAGAGTTGTCATTGCTCTCTCTGTAAAGAAACAGAGCAGATTAAGAAAGACGTATGTCAGAAAGAGAGATGTATCTATATATATATAAATATAGAGAACAAAGGAGAAAGTACAGGGAAAAGAATAAGAAATTAAAGTATTCGTAACCTGTCGGGCAAAAATCAAAGTTATCGATCCACTTGTTGGTTCTGAAAACGTGATAATCAAAACGCCAAAGCAAAAAATAATTTAAAACAAAACCAAAACTGCTGTTTCTTCTATCTTCTTTGGCCGTCTTGAAGAGAAAATTGGTGAGTGAAAGAAGGGTTGGAAGTTTGCAGTTTGGAATTTTGTGAAGAGGTATCAAAGGGGTCTTTGTCAAACTGCTCTGACTCGGTTTGCTATTGATTATTGTAATAATTATAATATCTTCCTCTTGTTCTTGTTCTTGGTCTTCCATTGAAACAAAAATGGAAGTCAGGAGAACCAGTCAAACACTAGCAATAAATTCTCAGCCTGTTGTTTGTTCTTTACTCTTTCTTTCTTTCCCATTTGCTTGTTTTCTTAGTTTTGTTTACTTTTTTTTATGTTTTCAAACTGCCGGAGCTTTATATTTTAAGTGTCTTTGAACAGAATTTTGGCTTCCTTGGTCAACTGCCGCATGTGTGGCTGCGTTGATTCCAAATATCTTGGTTGGAAAAAAAAAAAAAAAAAAAAAAAAAAAAATGGTGGGGGAAACTTGAGAGTTAGCTTTTGAGTTTGGACAAATTGGTTTGATTGTCTAAGTTTCTAGAATACTTCAGGAAAACTCACTGCATTCTGTGCTATGTGATTTGTGTGCTTATTTTTCAAAGTTTTGAAGAATTTTAAATTGCTTGCATAGCATTCACAATAGGTCACTCGTGAATATGATCCTCCCTTGACCCCAAAAAATATATGATAACCCCAACTGAGATTTTTTGGTATTTTTTTTA